AGAGTTCCAATTAAATCATAAAGATCCAACTCCTGGCTGGATGAGTGAGTAAAATCATCCGACTTGTCATTGATGACCCCAACTTACTGCCTCTGAGTCGTCCATCCATTTGACCGAGACTCAGTTAAGTCTAACCCAACGTGCGACAGCGACCACGCTATGGCGGTTCCCGTAACCAGCTTAACATACACCGTACTATGCTCTGCTGAGGCTGAGTACATGACAGTGCACATTAGCTGGATAGGTGCCGGGCGTCAGAAGGCAACAGACTTAATATTCGTGAGGGATTTATAATTTCGATCTCACCAATCGACATGGCCGCGCACATGTCCATTACTAGCGTTCAACATACATTCAACATGCATTCACAAAACGCAGTAAATAAACGTGTAATGATTGTGGCCCCTAAAAGAAAAATAAAACGATAGCTCCCACTGGCTTCCGGTCACTTGGACTTCGGGCTATTTCCATTCTTTTAGATTTCTCCAAACGGTCTTCAAATTTTTTCGTCTTCAAACCACCACGTGAGAAAAGAATCCTCGGTTGAGGTAAGAGTGAGAAATAGATTTACAACAAGAGTTTATGAGATAAGGCACGACACACAGGCCGTATTATAATCAAATAAACTATAGCCACAATCATCCACCATGCATATCATACATCCACACAAGCAATAGAGATATACATACACCGGGTGAACCGCGCTCACCCCACACAGTTCTAGAAAAATGCTACGGGAGTAAATATTTTCTAAAACTGATAAAATTAAATTAGACGTCCAAATAAATCTAATAAAATTTTATAATAATCATTTTATGCATTCTGGATATTCTGCCAGCAAAAAAAAATCCAGAATATTCTAATTGACCAAAATGCCCCTTTTGCAAAATTATTTTCAATAAGGCAATTAAAATTTTGAAACAATTTTGCAAAAATCATGAAAATTAAATTTCAACTTCCAGTAATTATTTTCAACATTTATAAACCTGGAAATAAAATTTCCAAAAATTTATAAATCATTATTTCCAAAATATATTAGTTAAATCTCAATAAGTTATAAAAAGCCATTTAAATTGATTTCGAAAATATTAAATTACAAAAATTTAATATTTTAAAAAACATTCTTTTTCTTACTGAGATATAACTTTCCAAAATATATATTAGTCATTTATGTAATTAAAATACAAATATATAAATATATATAATATTTCGGTAATCAAACCGAGTACATATATAAATATATATTTATTTAATTACTAACTAATATTATTTTGAAAAATATATTTATCAACAACCTTATTCAACTTAGAAATAATATTTCCAAGTTTAATAAAGTTCATTTTGAATTTTCCCATATTTATTTTCGGTTTTCACCTAAATAAATACAATAAATTCAAAATAGGAAATAATACATTCAAAAATTACAATATAATTTTATCAATCATAAAATGATGTTTTATGTCCAAATAAAATTATATTTACTATTTCTACAATATATATAAATATATATTTCGAAAAATCAAAATATATATATTTATATATATATTACGGGTAGAAATAAAATAAATAAATTTAAAATTCATTTTCAATGATTTATTTAAGTCCAA